ATAATAAATATGAAAAGGTCTGAGTATGGTTTATTATTTTAGATTTTTCTTTTGAAATGAGAGATTCTAGAACATATTTATAGGCTAAGAGGATAATTCTGTGGTAGGGAGAGATGGCTGGTGCAGAAGGGACAGCAAAAGGTGTGAGTCCTCAGGTGAGAGGAGGGGAGTCCAGTTTACAGTTTCTGGCTCCAGGCAGAGTAGCTTCCTCCATGGAGTCAGGGACTGACTGTATATAGCCTGTGGCTTCCCCTCCTCCTTAGGGAGGGTGGATGCTTGGATTCCTGGAGGCTGGGATTCCAGGCAAGTGCCCTGGAGGGAGAGGGCTGAAGGGTCTTTGACAAGAAGACTACAGGGCAGAGGAAAGGAGAATCCAAGCTGGTTGAAAGTAGAAGTGGCAGTAGACTAGGAGGCCTAGAAGTGTATGGATGAGGTTTTGATTCTTGCTTCTATATCAGCTTTGGGGAGCCCTTTAAAGGAACATGGGAACACAGGGCTGTGAGGGAACGAGACTTAGTCAGAGAAAGGGCAGTTTCAACAAATCCCTCCTGTGGCCTCTTGGCCCTGAGCTTTGTTCTGTGGCACAACAGGAGCACATGCCACACAGAGGACAAGAGGACAGTGAGGGATCCCCACTGGAGCCCCCCCAGCCCAGCACTGAGCAGGGACTCAAAGGTTTGAGGTTTGATGAATGAATGAGTAAATGAATGATAGCAAACACATGACCTTTACTATGTGGCAAACACTGGTATAACAGAGACCTGATTTCTCCCAAGACTTCTGTGAAGTGCTGTCTACTACTATCCCCAATTTACAGATGAGGCGATTGAGGTACAGACAGCAAGCATAATAACTTGTCCAAGGACACAGAGCTAGGAAGAGGCAGGATCATTCTGCCCACCAGGTAGCCTTGGCCCAAAGTCTGTGGTCAGAAAGGCAGGCTTCTCTGGAGAAGCAGCACTTGGAGTGGGTAGAAAGAAGTCAGTAGTCCTAGAGAACAAGGAAGAGTACTGGGAGAGGAAGCATCAAGAGGGCCCTGGGGAATTCAGGCACTGTAAAGAGTTGCAGTATGGTAAAACAGGATGGCCCAGGATGGGACTACAGAGGGGACAGAGGCCAGGCATACAGGACCTAGGAGGCTACGGCAAGGCCTTAGTATTTTATTATTTTCACTATTATTGTATTATATTTTATTTTTATCATCCCACACAAAATGAAAAGTAAGCCATTGGGAGGTTTTAAGCAAGGGAGGAATATGGGCTAACATGTATCTTTTTATGTATGTATGTATGTATATATATATTCTGGTAATGGAGAACGAATGTAGGGTCTTAAACTCGGTAGATAAACACTCTACCGAGTCACACTCCAGCCCCAACATGTATTTGGGTGTTCCAGGGTTTGGGGCTTTAAAATTTTAAATTTATTTTTATGTGTATGGGTGTTTTGTCTGCATATATGTAAGTGTCAGAACATTGTTAGCTGCTATACAGGGTGCTAGGAACCAAGCCAGGGTCCTCTACAAGAGCAACAATTACTCTTAATGGCTAAGCCTGGTTTCGCCTTTTTTTTGTTTTTGTTTTTGTTTTTGTTTTTTTTTCTTTCTGAGACAGGGTCTCCTTGTAGCCCCAGCTGTCCTGGAACTCACTATGTAGACCAGGCTGGCCTTGAACTCACGGAGATCCACCTGCCTCTGCCTCCCAAGTGCTGGGATTAAAGGGGTGTGCCCCCACGCCCGGCCTCCCCTTTTTTTTTTTTTTTAATATTTTATTATTTTTATTTTATGTGTATGAGTGTATTGCTTGCATGTATGTGAGTGCAACCATGTCATGCAGTGCCACAGAGGTCCAAAGAGGGCTTCAGATTCCCCTGGAATGGGAGTTAAGGATGGTTCGTAGCCGCCATGTGGGTGCTGGGAATCAAACCTGAGTCCTCTGCAAGAGCAGTCAGTGTGCTTAACCGCTGAGCCATCTCTCCAGCTCCCTCTTTTTTCTTTTTTGAAACACATCTAGGCTGGCCTCCACCTCTCTATGTAGCCAAATCTCCCTCTAGCCCCAGCTGTCTTGGAGCTCATATATAGACCAGGCTGCCCTCGAACTCACAAAGATCCACTTGCCTCTGCCTCCCAAGTGCTGGGATTAAAGGTGTGCGCCACCACACCTGCCTTGTTTCGGTGTTTTTGAGGCAAGGTTTCATGTAGTCCAAGATGGCTCTGAACTCAATATGAAGTCAAGGCTTGCTTTGAACTCCTGATCTTCTTGCCTCCACCTCCCAACATGCTGTGATATCAGGCATGTCCCACCACACCCAGGAGTCTAGCATGTATTTAAATTTTTTTAAATTTATTTTTTATTTTATGTGTATGAGTGTTATGCCTGCATGTGTGTAAGTGCACCCATGTTGTGCAGTGTCTGAAAAGGACAGAGGAGGACATTGGATCCTCTGGAACTGGAGTTATGGACATTTGTTAGCTGCCATCGGGTGCTGGGATTTGAATCTGGGTCTTTTGCAAGAACAGCCAGTGCTCTTAACCGCTGAGCCATCTATCTAGTCCCCAGCATGTATATTATTTTATTTTATTTTATTTATTTATTTATTTTGTCTTTTTGAAGCAGGGTCTCCCTGTAGCCCCAGCTGGCCTGGAACTCAGTATATAGTCCAGGCTGGCTTTGAACTCACAGAGATCCGCCTGCCTCTGCCTCCCAAGTGCTGGGACTACAGGCGTGCTCCACCACGCCCAGCTACTCCAGCATGTATTTTAAAAAGCAGAGGCCATTCCTTTTTACCTTCAATTATTTGTTTTCCCACTGGATTTTCTTTCTTTCTTCTTTTTCCTTTTTGAATAGCCCAGGTTGCCCTTGAAATCACTACGTAGCTGAGGAAGACCTTGACCCTCTGATTGTCTGTCCTGCCTCCATCTCCCTAGTGCTAGGACTACAGGTGTCCACACCCTCTTTTATGTAGTCCTGGAGATTGAACCCAGAACGTCCTGCAAGCATAAGCAAGTACTCTACCAACCTTGCTACATCCTCACTCCCCTCTCTGGACTTTCATTTATTCATAGATTAATGCCTTTGCTCCTTGGCTGATTCAGGAATTCTTATGGCCAGAGAGTCTGCTTACTCTTTGCCAGGACCTGCACTGGAGGTGCTGACAAGAGCCAGACCCAGTCTTTGTCCTCGAAGAAAAACATCCCTCACACTCAACCCTTTGGAGCCAATGGTACACCAGGCAAGAGTGCTCTGCTACATTGGGAATGAACATAAGGAAGGCCCCTAAGGAGATACTGGGTTTGGAAGAATAACAAAGCACATTTGATAGGTCGAAGGATTTCCCCCAGGAACAAATGCAGTCTCTCCCTCTCCCTCTCCCTTCTCCCCCTCCCCTCTCCTCTCTTCCCCTCTCTCCCTTTCTCTTCTCCCCTCAGGATTCTTTTGTCCTCCTCCTCCTTCCCCCTCTCCCCCTCCACCTCTCTCCCCTCCCTCTGTTTGTTTGAGGTAGGGAATCATTATGATCACTATGTTGCTCTGATTGGCCTCCAAGCCATAGGGCTCAACCAATCCTCCAGTCTCCACCTCTGGAGCAGCTGGGCTGTGCAGCTAGTGTGACCAGTCTCTTTTGTATCTGTGTTCTCTAAGGCTGTACCTGATGGGCAATGATAAACATTTGTTTGTTAATTGAACATGTGGACCAACGGTCACTTAGAGGGCACTCTGATGGAGATAACGCTGCCCAGGCAAGGTGAAGTCACCCTCTCAAGCCCCAGAGCCTCTACTAGCCATTCTTTCTTCTTCCTCATCCCACCTCTTGGCTTCCTGAGAGCAGCTTTCTTATCTGCATCCACCACTTGCTGTCACCAGTTACCCTGTGACACTCCAGAGTCTGTGCTTGCGCGCGCACACACACACACACACATACACGCGCGCGCGCGCGCGCTCCAACCCTTACAAAGCAACACACCTGTCTGCATAATGTGTCCCAGTTGGTGATTCTAAAACCAAACTCATCAACTCATTGTCTATAACCAACATGCCCCCTCTCCTATTTGTACACTCTCCACTCCCCCAAGACACACCTCCAAACACATCTCTCCCTCCGCAGACAGGGGGATTTCCCAGGTTTCCCTGGCCCTTGGTTTATGACTGAAGATGTGACACTGGAGAGAGGGGAACCTCGTGTTTGGGAGGGACCAGACATCCCTAAGGACTGTGATGAATGATCCTACTCAATTTCTCTAAAACAGGTGTGTGGCTGTGGCCTGATGGGAGCCCATTCCTCTGAAAAGCAGTTTCCCAAAGGCAAGGTGTTCTGCCCCTGCATCTCCAGGGTCCTGTGTCCTCAGTGGCCAGTCCCTAAGGATGGGGTGGTAAGGTATGGTAGAGGTGACAGGATGCACAGCAGTCATCCAAGTGAACTTGGGAAAGGCTAATCTTGACCTGGTGCTGGGTTTTCTTTCCCACCTGGTGTGTGGAGTGGGAACCTCCGTGATGTGGAAAATCCCCTCCGTACCCCTGAATGAACAGGTGCCTCTGAGGATGAGCCTGTCCTTTGGAGGGAACCTTTGGGAAGACTCTGGGAAGGAACTGGGGTGCAGGTAGAGGGCTGTGAGAGCCCAACACCCCCCCCCCCGCGTAACCTGGGAAGACCGGAAGTGGGGACGGGCGGGTCTTGGATCTGGGGGCTCCTCCCGGCTTTGGGCAGCTGGCTTGGGGCTGGGGCGTGACTGTGAATTCTCCCCGCCGCCACTGCCGCCACCAAAATAAGAGAAGTCCGAGGCCGCTTCCTCCTCCCTGCCCAGAAGGGGTGGCAGGGGCTGAGGCGGGCACCCCGCGTAACCTGGGAAGACCGGAAGTGGGGACGGGCGGGTCTTGGATCTGGGGGCTCCTCCCGGCTTTGGGCAGCTGGCTTGGGGCTGGGGCGTGACTGTGAATTCTCCCCGCCGCCACTGCCGCCACCAAAATAAGAGAAGTCCGAGGCCGCTTCCTCCTCCCTGCCCAGAAGGGGTGGCAGGGGCTGAGGCGGGCAGCACCCCACTTCTCCCCTACATCAGCACTCCTGGCTGCTGGAAGCCAGGGCTGGCTAGCCCCCAGGTCGTCAGCTGCTGCCTCCCCTGGGACCAGGTAGGCGGCCCTGACCAGGTGGTGCCCCGTCGCCTGCCCTCACCCTGGGGGAGGGTTTGGAGATAAACCCGAACTTGAGAACTGAGCAAGCTGAGGGCGGGGACCCCACCCCAAAAAGGAATTAAAGAAGAAAACTAAGGAGAGCTGGAGGCCATTGATAGAACTTGGGGAGGGAGCTTAGGGAATATGAAGAAGAGTCTGGTGGAAAATGGGGGATCCTAGACAGCAAAATTAATAGAATTTGGGAAATAGTTAAGGGAAGAGACTGAGGGGCTCCCCAAAAGGGCCTGAGGAGAAGACAGGGATTTTTGAGAGTAAGGGGTCTGGAAGAGGAGGGTTAGGTGGGGATACCAGGAGGATCTGGTGCCAGGGTTGCGAAAAGGGGATCCAGGAGAGTGATCTCTGCAGGACGCAGAGCGCAGGGTGCAGTTCTGGGGTCTAGGAAGGCCCTACAGGGTTCTGCAAAGGTGGGGTGAAGCCAACACTGGGGCAGGGGAGGGGAGGCTCCTGCGCCCCCCGGCCCTCCGGCCCCAGCTCTGGCCAGGGGCTTCCTTCAAGGCTTGGTGGCGTGGGTCCCAGTTTCCTGGGGAAGTCCTCGCCCTCCGCATCCCTGGGTGCCTCTCTCTGTCCGCGGTGGCGGTCTCGGTCCGCGTCTTTTGGGATCCGGGAATTGCTGGCAGTCCCGACGGAAATCCTGCTTTTGACCGCAAATGCCCGCAGGGGCTGTCTCCATGGCAACAGAGGGCGGCTGGGCCAGTAGGCTCAGGGCAGCAGCGGGCTCGTGGCTGGCAGCCACCTTTGGTCCCCGCCTTCGTCCCCATTTTGGGTTCTTGGTCAGGGTGAGCGGATGCCGCCCTGTTCAGGATCTGCGGATTGAGACGGGTTTTTAGCAAGAATGGGCCCCTAGTTGCTGTGTAGACTGCAGGCAAGTCAGAAGACTTGCCTGGGTCCTTGTTTTCCTCTTTAGAACTTGGCGGAGAAATTAGTCCTCCTCCTTGTGAATCACAAACAGAAAGCAGTTTAGCTGGGTCTAGTGGTTAATGCTTGGAATCTCAGCTCTCAGAACACGGAGGTAGGATTGCTTGAGGTCAGCTCCATCTACATAGTGAGTAGAAAGCCAGCCAGCAAGACTCTGTCGCGGCGGGGGCGGGGGGGGGCCGGCGGCAGGGAGAGTGTGTGTTCTACTGAAGGAATTAAGCGTTATCACTCACCGCCCAGTGAGCCTGTTCTTTGAAAGTCCAGAAAGAAGCCTGGGTCTCCCTGAAAGGGTCTTCAGGGACCTGCAAACAGTTGGCATCTAATAAATGTGGATCCTTGGAGGTCCCATCCTGGGGAGGTCAATAGGGATCAGATCTATAGCCTACTCTCCACACTCAGGTGGCCACCTCTCTTTAGGCATGTAGTTTGGAACCTTTGATGCTGTCAGCGTCCCTCCATCTGTGGTGGGAATGAGAACAGGGCTCTGTTGATAGCCAGGAAGGTGGAGGCTTGGGGCCAACAGCAGGGGATAGGAGTCTAGAGCATCTTGATGCAGTAAAGGAAATAACCAGGCTGAGGCTTGAGACTCCATCAGTCCTGGTCAAGCTCATGTGGAATCCAAATAGCCTTAAAGAGAGGTGTGAAGGAGAGGAGGATGGAGCGGGGTTCATGGCTGACAGCCAGTTCCTGTACCCCAGCAGTCATGAAGCTATGCGTGAGGCTGGGAGAGTGCTCCCCACTGTGTTGCTTGGAGTGATTGTATTTGAGCCCGAGTGCTTATGTGAGGGTATTCTGGGTCTTCTCTCCAGCAACCCCCCTCCCCAGGCTGAGTGACAAAGGAAATGACCAATCCTGGTAGTCTGTGTAGGGAACCATAGACCTGAAGAAGGAAGGAGGGACCAAGGTCCTTCCCTTATTCAGCACACTGGGCTGGCCCATGGTGGAAGAAGGCAGAGTGCCCCCCCCAATCCTGTAGACCTGAGGAAGCTTCCCATCTAACCACATTGTGGAATCTGTTCTCTTAGTACCTTAGTTCCCACTCATGACTGAAACCCCAAGTTCCAGGGCAGGTGTGCCCTAAAGCTCTTGTTTTAGAAGCTTATGGTGGATTTCCAGTGACAGGTAGAACCACTTTTACCTCTAACAAGAGGAAAAAACTCAGTTGACACACTCAGGACCATGTGGAGAGTAGGGTTAGTGTGATATAGAGAAGTCTTGTGTGTACATTTGCACACATACACACACATACACACACACACACACACACACACACACACATCTGAACTCACCAGGTGAGTTGATAGTCTGGTGGCAGTATGTCTAGTATCTGATAGGTCTCAAGAAAGGGTAATGTAAGATGGCAGGGGGTTAGTGAGAGTTGGGGGCCTCCATGAGGGAAATGGGCCCAGTGAGGGCCCTGGAGTCCTGTGAGGCATCAGCACTTAGTAAGAGGACTGTGGCAAAGGATAGAAGTGCTCGGTCAGGGCTCATGGTCTGGTGAGGGATGGCAATACCTGTGCACCTTAGACTTCCTGCCCCTCCAGCCCAGGCCTGTCCCAGCCCAAAGCCCTGAGGAGAAACGGAACTATTACAGGATGGTGGTTTCCTGCTGCTACCCAAAGTCCCAATTCCTTTTTGGTGAAGTCCTCAGGGTTTGCTGGACTTGCTCCTCCTTCCCACCTCAGCTGAGAACTTCTCTTTCTTCTCAGCCCTGCCCAGCCCTGTACTTCTGCCTACTTATCCCCCCACCCCCACGCCTTTCTGCAAAGAGAGCAAAGGAAGTGAAAGTTCACTGGGCGCCTACTGTATGCCTGGTGTTTTCAGGGGCCTGACAGACAGCATCAGATGCTCAGAAGCAACAGTGAGAGATTTATATTCCAGATTCACAGGCAGAGGAACTGCAGCTCAGAGAGATGAACTGACTTGCCCACTGCCTCAAGCCAGTTGTCAGGCAGGGGTAGAATTTGAACCTAAATCTATCTCTGGCTTCCCCACATACTTGGCAGGGGTTGGGGAAGACATGACATCCCATCTATACCAGAGCCTTGACATGGCTTTGGGAAATGTGGCTCTTGTGTAAGGATGATTGAGGGGCTTTGGGCTCTTGCGTCCAGGAACAGAGGTGAGTGGGAGGCAGGCTCTCTGCTTCATGTTCAGCTGCCACAAGACAGATTTAGTTGGCCAGCAGCCAGGTAGGAAGAATAACATTAACCAATCAAGGACAGCATGATCCTGCTCAGGCTTTGGAGAACCCAGCCACCATGCCAGGAACAGAACTGGGGACTGGACTTAATAGTCCTTGCTTTGAATCTCCTGCCTTCCTGTGTGACCTCAGTCAAGTCACTTTAAAGGTACATGCAAGAGGCAGGTGGACTAAGTGCCCCTAGGGGCCATGCTGTTCTGCTGCTCTGTTTCTCAGCCCCACTTGGCCACTGTACACTGAGCAAGAGCCTTAGCTCATGAAGTCCTCACAGCTGCTCTGCACAGAGGGTACAGGCAAGAAAACTGATGCTCAGATGCTCTGTCTTCCATCCAAGGTCACAAAGCTGTTGAACAGAGCTGGAGGCTGATCATGCAATGCCAGCACTGTGGAGGCTAAGACAGAAGGATCATAAGTTCAAGGGCAGTCTGGGTTATACAGAGAGATCTGAATACTGTGGAGGGAGAGAAGGAGGGAGGGAGGGAGGGAAGAGGGAAAAAGTTGGGGGAGGAACTCACCACATAGGGGCAGATAATGAAATGGGGAGAATTGTGGTCCAGGGTTAGTTTAGACCTCAACTGCAATACCCATAATCTGATTTCGACCTTGATAGGGCTCTGGGATTTGGTTCCTGTCAAGAGACCTATGGGGGCGGGGGGTGCTAGAGAGATAGCTCATCAATTAAGAGCACTGGCTGCTGTTGCAGAGGACCTGGGTTCAAATCCCAGCACCCACATGACGGCTAACATGGTCTATAATTCCAAGCTGGGTGTGGTGGCACACGCCTTTAGTCCCAGCACTCAGGAGGCAAAGGCAGGCAGATCTCTGTGTGTTCAAGCCCAGCCTGGTCTACATAGTGAGTTCCAGGCCAGCTGGGGCTATAGAAAGACTCTGTTTCAAAAGACCAAAAAAAAAAAAGAACAAACATAAACATGATCAATTCCAGGGGATCCGACATCCTATTCTGAACTCCTCAGGCACTGCACAACACACATGCACTTACATACATACAGGCAATATACTCATACACATAAAATAAAATTTTAAAAAAGTAAAAAAATAAAAAAGAGAGAGACATTTGGGCTGAGGTGCAGCTTAGTGGTAGAGTGGCTGCTTACCATGTTTGAATCCCTGGGTTTAAGCCCTAGCACCAAAACAAAAGCAAAACTTGAGCCCAGCATGATGACACAAGGCTTTAGTCCCAGCACTTTGGAGGTAGAGGCAGGGTGATCTCTGTGAGCTCAAGGCCAGCCTGGTCTACATAGTGAGTTCCAGGCCAGCTAGGGCTACAGGGAGACCCTGTCTCAAAAAAGTCAAACTAACAAAACAAAAATTCACAACAAAAACCCAGTTTAAAAAACCCACAACTTGGGGCTTGAGGGATGGCTTAGCAGTTGAGAACACTGATTATTCTTGCAGAAGACTTGGGTTTGAATCCCAGCACCCACATGGCAGCTAACAAGTGTCCGTAACTCCAGTCCCAGGGGATTCGACAGCCTCTTCTGACCTCCACGGACATTGCACCACACGGGTGCACTTACCTATATGCAGGCAATACACCCATACACATAAAATAAAAATAATAAATAAAATTAAAAACAACAAAAAAGCCAGGCATGGTGGCGCACACCTTTAATCCCAGCACTCAGGAGGCAGAGGCAGGTGGATCTCTGTGCGTTCAAGGCCAGCCTGGTCTACATAGTGAGTTCCAGGCCAGCTGGGTACAGGGAGACCCTGTCTCAAAGAGACCAAAAAAAAAAAAACCACCCACAACTAAATTCATAGACAAACTGAAGTCCCTGAGTTTCCCAGAATGCTGGTG